ATGTGTACATTTGGGTTTTATCTTACATCTAATGTCGTTAAATTCATGTTTATTGCATTATTTCAGTATCATGTGTGTCACCATGATGGTGTTTAGTGTTTGTGTGAATGAGAATGTGCACCTTCTATATTGTCCTCCTCAGCTCATAAAAAAAGCTGTTTGTTATGAGCTTTGGTTCATCATGTGACTTTCTCATCACCACCAGTTTTTGGTGGTTATCAGTGCATTACAGTGGTTCAAAACAGATATTAGTACTTCAATATATTGGTTTATTAACATTACATCAGTTAATGAAATACGGTATTTTATTGTGAATTTAAGTTAAGTCTGTAAAACCTAAAATGTTGCTACCATATTTTTTACGGTGAAGTTCTGGCAACCACAGCTGCCGGTATTTTACTGTAAATGTCACAAATTTGTTTTAAAGTGTGGCTTAGGCAGGACAGCCTCCACCGCATTTGGTGGAAAAGATGTTGCTCAGCTCTGTGGCACCAGGCATATAAGATCCATGAAAACCAGGACACTGAGCAAATGAGTGGTCGGGAACCATTAGTGCGTGTGAGTGACGTTAAAACACGCTTGGACTGTGACACGTTTGCATCATGCAGACAGTTCCATCTGCACCTTAAATATTTAATCTGGTTCAATCGGAGTTCAAGACACACACACACACACATATACGAACACACGCATCCAGCTTTCTCCAGTAGAGTTGAGGTCTTCTGCTTGGCTAGCGATTCAGGGATGGTAGGGTTTGTTCAGGAAAAGCTCTTTTCGGAGCGGAGGAAGCCCATGGGACAGGCAGGAACAAGGAGCTTTAGGAGTGTAGTGGCTGCTTTGCTAGGTTACCACTCCCTCTGCTGAGCGTCCTTACTTCCTCTCGTCTCATCAGATCACTGTCAGTGCTCTGGCGGCGTGAGAGGCCTTTTATAGCTATGTGCTCATAAATTCGGGCACAAGGGCCGCAAAAAACAGGCATAACCCCGCCACCCCCTCCCCTCTCTCTCTCTCTCTCGCTCTCTCTCTCGCCGTGATGTCTCTGAGAAACCGTGGCGCTTGATTGCATGAGCAGCACGTTATTGATCGCCATCGCTGTTTTGATGGCAGAATGATGAGCTTGTGCGCCCGAACAAGGAGCCGAACTGAAGAGCTTGTTTGAGCTGGTGACACCGCCACTTACGAGAGCGGCCGCAAATGATAGACTGCTACGTCCTCGCCTGTCTGTGCTCCAGAAAATGGATTAGACCAGAAAATGTTCCGTCACCACATAGTTGTCCCACATAGTTGTAGCTATTGGGAAGTCATTTTACACAGTACGTGATAAAGTATGACCAATGCATTACTTAAGGTTTTTACAAGGTCCCTCTCGCGCTGTGTGTATGAGTGTGTGGCTTCAATGACCATGAATGTTTTAACATTGCAAATGCAACAGATGTGCAGGAGATCGATTGCGTATCTATTGTAAATGGATACAATTTTTAAAGCACAGAATGTGTTTTTGTTTTGATTTTTAGATAAAAGACCCTGAACACTGATTATTTTTAAACTTTTTTTTTTCACTTAGCAAAAATCAGCAAGTACACTTACATTTCAATCCTAGAGAGCAATTGTTAATCATATTTACTAGGAAAAAAATAATTTCAGTTAGCTACTTTTTGCATTTGTGTCAATAAATGAAAAAAAAAATGCATTGCTTTCAAAATTGTTTTTACTTTTCATATGAATCAGATCTATGAAAGATTATTTGCTCTCCTAAATAATTGGATGGAATTTGAAATAATTTTCCATTTTATATATTTTACATTCTGAGCACTTTGGAAATTTTGGATAATTACTTTTACACTGAGCAAAACATATTTAGGTTATTTGCTATTTAAGTAGAATGTATTTCTTAACTAATGTAATATCTGAGGATATTAAATAACTTTTATATATATTTTATTGAATAGCCTAATATATATGGATAATATCTGTGTCTATAAGTTTGTTAAAACAAACACAAATATGTTAACAGTAAATACATCATGCAATCAGTCAAAATGATAAACACATGAGTCCCATGATGCCATGTGTAATGTTATGATTTACTTTCGCATTAGTGTGATAGTTTGGTTGTAGTGTATTTTATATGTTTGTTTGCAATGCTGAATGATTCCCTGCTAAAATTAATACAGTGTAACACTGTAAATATGCATTTTCTGGTCATTTTCACAGACTGAGGGATGTTTTCCCTCTGATGTGTTGCCACAATTGCGGTCCATAGATGTTTGTATATGAAATATCCCGGAATATTCCTTAAAGTTATATCTTTTTTTTTTTTTCGGAGGAAATCTCAAATATCCGTTTCTCCATGTGTGGTCTCTGAACTATTTGTGTTTTCATTCTGCAGTCAAACGGTTTTATTGCTTTTTTGTATTCTTTTATTGATATATAGCGACACTGTATTTGCCGCCCGTCTTCTTGGCTTTGTCTCGCAATATGCCAGCTGGTTATTGTATTAGGCACTGGCTGAAGGGATGCTTAGATGGCTGTTTTCAATTAATGCTCCTAATAAAACTTCACTTATCTAATCTTTTAAGTTTCGTTTTTGTTTATTAACAAAGGTCTTTTGCTTTCGCACAGCTCAATCTCATCTTCCTGCTCATCACGATGTACAAAATGATGAAACACTCTACATCGCTGAAACCTGATTCCAGCCGGCTGGAGCACATCAAGTAAGTCACGTTATTTCCCCCACGATATTTCAGCTCATGTGGAGTCGAAGTGTGCCGCCACACGCTAAGAAGAAGCTGCATTCCTAATCTAACATTTAGAACAGGAACAGACATTGCTTCCTGGATACACTGTATGTAGCATCTACAAAACTGTCGTTTTTTGCTTGGATGAATTTAAGTGTGTCGACTAAAGGGATTCAGATGGACTCCAGACAGATGTTATTCTCTTCAGGTGCACGTCGTCTATTAATGTGAGCGATGGCCAGAGAGGCACGTAATGATTGAGACAGGCTCAGCGCTGTTCCTCCTTTACAATGACCACAAAACTCTTTTTGGAACAAACCCCTGTATTCAGAGTCTGCCTGCAGAGTGAATTCGTGTGTGTGTGTGTGTGTGTGTGTGTGTATGGGTGAAGACGGCGCAGTCAAAGCACTTCCATGTGTTTCCTGTTGCAAAGAGGGATATCTCTTTCTGTAGCGGTTTCTGTGTTGGCTGACCACACAACTCTTTTGGTTTTTTTTTGCTGGCATGGCAATGCATGTCTTACTGGTTATATTTGATAGTGTATGACATATTTTCTATTGTTTTGAAATTGTGTATATATATATATATATAAGATGTTGTTTTTTGTCTTTTTGTGTGTTTCCAATGATTGTGGCACTTTCCATTAATTAATTTTGCTTTAGTCTTATTTAAATGTTCTTTCTGTTCTCAATGTCATATATATATATATGTATGTATGTTTATGGGGGATAACACTTTACAATAAGATTTCAATGCATGCATTATCTAACATAAACCAAGTTTAATAAATGTTTTTAAAATGTATTACTCATTGCTAGATTTTGTTAGTTAGTAAAAAATATAATTGTCCGTTGTTTGTTCATGTTGGTTCACAGTATATTACCTAATGTTAACAAATACCAAACTTTCATGTTTAAAAAATGTATTCGTAAATGTTGAGTATTGTTCATGGTTAGTCTGTGTGGATTTTTTCACAAATCAGAATTTAAAGCTTTAGCCAAGTCCCCAATTTTGGTAACAAAACGTTTCTGTAACCCTTGGACCCTGTTCATGGAAAGAGCCTTTATATGTTTTGGATTTGATATACGACACTGATTGCATTTAATGTGATCTTTCAAACTTAACACAGCCATTGGGTAAATATGCATATTTTATTAGATTTAACAATGATATAGACATGAATAACACGCTTGAAAAATATGTTGCTCACAGACGTTGTGTCGGCCGTATGTTGTCTAAATTTCTCTCCACCCATCACCACAGGGCAAGAGGAATCAATCCGCTAAACTCTGGGCTCATTGCAGCATGTTGCATGTTCAGCAAGCTAATCTGCAGCATTTTGTTTCATTTCTCTATTTCCCATTTCCCCTTGTTTTTTTCTCTCTCCTTTCTTTCTCTTTCTCTGTCCTCTCTCTGTTCTCTTACCCAAACCAGTAATTATCGCGTCTGTGATGGCTATTATAATTCTGATTTGCCTGGGTAAGATTCACCGTACACCGTAACTTATGTCGCTCATAAAACATTACTGCCGCATTAAATAGTGTAAAACGGCAAAGTACTGGCACATTTGGCCTGAGAGAACCATCTTTAGGCTCTTTAGAAATCGGCATAAGGCAAAGCAGCATGGGAAAATTAAATGTACTTGGCAGTATGTGTAGAAAAAAAGAAAGAAAATTTACAGTGGCGGTAAAGTTTTATGAAAAGTCCTGTCATGTAATAATCAAGTGTGTTAAAGACGACATGAAATCAAAATTGACCCTATTTACTTTCTTAATAAATGTCCACTATTGTGCAAGTTATTCTAAAGAAATATATATACATTTTCTTCCTCTGAAATAACATTTTGTTTCTGCTTATGTGACCATATTAATAATAATCGACTAAAACCTTGTCCTAACCAGATCCAAGTGAGAATTAATTTTCACCAAAATTATACTGTTTTGTGATGCAAAACAACCAAATGGAAGATATTTGATGTTTAATATATAGCTTTATGGAGTTTAATCAATAATAATAATTTATCTGTAATTATTACCGAAGTTAAATACATTGTGATGCTGTTTCATGTTGTCTTTAAGAATTCATAACCTGGACAGCTGCATTTATTCAGGAATTTTTGTCTTGTCACAGCTGAGGACAACAACAGAACCTAACTCTTTTTTTTTTGTCCAGCTTTATTTGATTTTTGAACTTCAGAATTCTTACATTTGGACTTTAATGCTAATTCAACTGATTTGCCTGATCTAATGTTGTCTCTCTCCTCTGCTGGCCATGCTCTCTAGCTATGAAGATAATAAACCATTTATCAAGTAAGAGCGTTAGCTAGACATCTGTGCCACAGCCTCATGGTTGCTCCGCTTGTCATTTTATTGTCTGTTTACTGGGCTCTTCCAGAAGCGCTGTCTCTCTGTGCTGCTCATGCACACTGTCTGTCTGTCTGTCTGTCTGTCTATGGCTTAACTGGTTTCTTATTTTTTATTCCGCCTGGACCGTCTTAAATTGCTGTACATCTTAACTTCATATACCCTCATATCCTTAAATCCTTCAAACCCATAACCTTTTCTACCCTCCTCGTCCTCACCCTTCATGTTATTCCTACCCTCGAACTTTCAGACCTCCTCACACCGACACATTCTCGTACACTTCACATGGCAAACCCCCAAATATATTCCTCCCCTCAGATGCCAAAGTGCTCATTGCCTTCATTTTCTCATTCTCATTTCTCAAAGTGTCATGCCCTTATTTACCACATATACGAGTACATGATATATCAGTGGTTATTGGCTTATCAGTGTAATATTTTGATTTATTATTTATTTACTTACTTAATTACTTATTTACGTACAGTCCATATTGTATATGTTAGCCAGTATTGCATATTTAACTGTGCATGCTAATTGTCACATATATGTTATTAAATGCTATCTATCTATCTATCTATCTATCTATCTGTCTGTCTGTCTGTCTGTCTAAATCCATCTTTTATACTGTGCCTTATAATCTTGTCAAAATTCACGGTTTTAAAGTAGGTATTATTTAGGTATTATTAGTTTCTATTGTATAGTACTGTTTTACAAATTATTCATATAGTGTTATGTATTTTTTTTAGCTATTTATTTATTTTTAGACACAATAGCATTTTAATATTAGCCATTTATCAGTTATACGAGTAAA